GGGAGAAAAACTCCTGCAGCCGCATGGGGCGTGTTGGCCTATGAGCTGCTTCGCACGCATCTGAAGTGTTTGAAGGACCCAGACACGCAGACCGGGCCCTGGCAGGTGTGGCTCAGTGATACCAGTGCGTGCCTGGGTGCCGAGGGGTCACGGAGGGTCACGGGTTCGGTTCCCTGTTTGGGCACATGCCCTGGTTTTGGGTTCAAGCTCAATAGGTTCAATGTTTCTCTCCCGCCCAACCCCCGCCCCCTCTCTTTCTGTCCCTAGAAGTAATTTAAATAGAAAATAATTTATTTTTTAAAAAATAAAAAAGCCTGCCCTTACCTGCTGGGCTCAGTGGACAGAGCATCAGCCTGAGGCCTGAAGTGTCCCCGGTTCAATTCTGGTCAAGGGCAGGTACCTTAGTTGTGGGCACATGTACCTTGGGAGCCGGTGTGCAGGAGGCAGCTGATTGATGTTTCTCTCTCACGATGTCTCTAGTTCTCTGTCCTTCCACCTTCCTCTCTGTAAATAATCAATAAAATACATTTAACATAAATAAATCAAAAAGCCCAGCCTGGTCTGCAGGCGATGGATACCCGGTCGCAGTCCTGTAGGATTCCCCTTGGTGGGAGCTCGCTGCCATCTCTCCTCCTCAGTCACGCTGTGGGGTGACCGTCACCCGTGAGAGCCAAGGGAAGCCGTGAGTTCTGAGCCCTTGGAAGTGGCTGGACCTGGAGGGTGAGGGGGGTCCAGGAGTGGGACTGAGATGGATTCAGGGACCAGGTGGGGGCGGCCCAGGCTGCTCCCACCTCTCGTCTGTCAGGTGGGGTGGGGCCTGGCCTTGCCCCTGTTCCAGGCCAAGTGCCGGATACGGGAGGGGGTGCAGAGGCAGAGGAACTACAGAGCCCCTGGCCAGGCCCCAAGGAGCTGGGACAGAAGGACCACCCCTCACCCCAGCCAGGCCCGCACAGACCTCTGGGAGCACCAGCCCGGCCCCTGGTTACAGCCCAGTCTCCAGAACCACAGCCCCAGCGGGCCTGGTCCTGAGCAGGCCCTTTCCCTGCCTCTGAGAGGGACGTGGGGTGACCTGATCCTGGGGCCCAGTGGGTATGCGTATCTCCCGCGGGTGGAAATGGGGGAGCCTTCGCCTCCATCGCCTCTCACCGGGTCCCCGTTCTAGACTCAAGGGCAGGAACGGCTGTCCAGGAGCTGGGTGGGTTCCCAGAAACCCCTCTCCTCCCCCCGCACCCGAGGGTGGCGCCCCCACAGAACCCGGAACGGGGCTGGCACCTCATCAGTGACTTTATTTCTGGGCAGATGCTGGTGAATTGTTTCCAGGCTCTTCTCAGAACAGGCATTTCCGTCCCGCTCCTGCCTTCCTGGGTTGCAGAGCACGGAGCCCGCCTCCAGGCCCCTCCTCTGCTTTCAGCTGCCCCTCTGTCCAAGGAGCCCACCCGTGCTCCTCTCCTGGGCCCCTGGACCGCCTCGCTGCCTCCCATCCCCCGTAAGGTGTGTGCCGGAGAGAGAGGGGGCAGGGGACTATGCAGAGGCCCCTTTCAGGGGGCGGGCGTGAGGAGGGGTGGACAGAGGGGAGATCTGGGTGCCTCCACTTCTCATTGCCCTTTGCGAACTGGGACAAAATTCAAAAGAAAAACACACGCTACTTTGAACTCAGGAATAAGGTCAAGTCCACTCGGAACAGAAACTCCCCCAGCCCCAACCATGGGCAGCTCCACCCGCGCACTGGCCCTGGCCCCCACCTCTAGGGAAAGTGGGGTTTGGGGCAGAAACAGCTGGGAAGGACCCGAGGACTTTGGGGTACAGGTCTTCTTAGACCAGGGAGGAGCCAGGCAGGGGGGGGTGGCTCCTGGTGGCCAGGCTGGGCTGGAGGAGGCAGCAGGCAGCACCATGGGAGGCGGCTACCCCAGAGGCCAGGGCAGAAAGGGCTCCCCACCCTCAGGAACAATCATGGCTCCTTAGATGTCTGTGGAATGAGTTGGTGTTTCTTGGCGGTATGAGGAAGACCAGCTGTGGCCAGCCCACTGCTGCCATGTGGAGCTCTTCCTCTAGGCCCCCATCCTTCTCCTGTCAGTCACTCACCCCACAGACACCCCTGAGCACCCAGTGTGTGTGCCAGGCTCTGACTCTGGGGAACTCTGAGTCACGTAGAGTAGACAGTGCCACTGAACAGACTCTGGAGTGAGGAGGGGAGGCACTGTAGTGAGTGTTGACGCCTGTAGCTGAGCTGTCCTGGAAACAGACAGCACAGACCGAGGCTGCCTCCATGAGGTATCATGGAATTTGTCTGCAGTGCAACATCACACCAACCACATGGGTATGGGGCCATGAGATAAGTGCACAGGAGACCCAGCCGTGCCCAATGAGTCCTGATCTGGGCTTCTGCTGGTGTTTCCTGGAAGGGAGAAGCAGTTTTTCACAAGGGCGGAGCAGGCATGCCCAGGGCACCCTACTTGGGTTCAAATCCAAGCTCAGGACTCATTCCCTGGGTGACCTCGGGACAGTCCCCCCCCCAGCCCCAGGCCTGTTCCTTTTCTATGAGCAGGTGTGATGGTTAGTACCCACCTCGGGCACCTGTCCTCGGACAGTGGTGTTGACAGTGGAGATCTTACAAGGGAAGCTCTGTCCTGGCTCTTAGACATTTTTGTTTTTGCCTTTTCATTTTCATTTTATTTTATTTTAACTTTTTTGTTGTTGTTGTTCTTGTTGGTGCTAAAGCTCACTGGTTGATATATTTTCCATTGATATTTTAGAGGGAGTGGACAGGAGGCAAAGAGACAGAGAGAAACATCTATTGAAAGAGACACATTGATTGGTTGCCTCCCCCAAGCTCGGGATCAGCGTCTAGGATCCTGCCCCCAACCAGTACATGTCCTTTTCAGAAGACGAAGAGGGCTCCTCTGGGAAGAAAGGTGGCTTTTCTTTCTTCCCAATTGCATATGCCTTTGCCTCTATAGTCGGTATTGCGTATGTTCCGGTGCTGGTGAGCTTTGCACCTTTCATGGTAGGATCTGTCACTTCCATCATGAAACTTCTGGGGATTCCCGTGCTCTTTTTAATCCTAGGACGAGATTCGAAGTGTTTGTCCCCATTGGTTGGGCAATTCTTAATATAATGGCCAGGTCTACCACAGTGGAAACAGGTGTAAGATGGAGGTGGTGGACCTAGAGTCTTCTTCATGTAATTGATGGGGTCGTATGCACGGCCAGACTGCCACATCATGGCTTTAATTTTATCTTCTTCAGAAGCATTGGCTTCAGCCAGATTGGCAGTCTTGGTAAGCTGGGCCAGAGACATAGGTGCAGAAGAGTCGTCAGTGACTTTTGAAGTTCCCATCGCTGGTTCAGTTCGACGTATAACGTCCGTCTGGCTTGTAGATTTCACACCTCCAATAGGAATTCTTCTAACAAGGACAGACGTATTCTTAGGAATCAGAGCATTATCATCAGTGTACTCTTCCGCGGTCTGCGCGCTGCTGATCTGCACTTGGCAGCTTTCAGCTTCTCTCTGCCCAGAATCTGCGTCTTTAGGTCTCGGAGGGAGATGTGCCGCCCATCAAAGGTGACGATGGCATAGTTGAGTGTGGAAGCGAATTTATAATGCACACAGGACATGGTGCCAAAGTACTCCTCAGTTTGGGCGAGGAGACGTGGACACGCTCAGTACACGTATACTTATGAACTGAAGAGCAGAATATGGGCATACACAGAACACTCGCAAGACACCGAAGGACCAAAGGCCTTGGTTTGAACACCCCCTCCCCACAGCAGGGGCGTGAGAACCGCAATCCGTGGAATCACTTCCTGTGCAGGAGGCAGGCCAGGCGGGCCAGGGCGGGCCAGGGCCCGAGGGCCCGGGGCTCTGCCAATGGGCACCGGGCACCCGGGCCGCGTCGTCACGGGGGGGGTCCCCCTCTCTCTCACTCTCAGCCAGCAGGCAGTGCAGTCAGCAGCGGTGAGTCAAAACGTTTTAAGTCCCAGTGACCCCGGGAGGGTCCTGGGTCCTTAGTGCAGCCGCACCTTCCGGGGGCTCTCTCCGTGGTTTGGGGGGCCCCGGGCCCCCGCGAGAAGACCAAAGTCGGCGAAGAAGAAATGACACGCAGTACAGCGGTCAGTTGATCAGCAGCCTAGCCAGGTTCTAGCTAGCCAGGTGCTTCAGAGGCTTCTATGTCCCGGGACCGGGTCTTGGCGAGACGTCTCCCCTGAAAGCTCACTTGGAGAAGGAGGTCGGCGACGGCGACCAAGACAACAAGCCTAGGGCTGAGAAGCTCCGCACCCAGGACCTTACTTTCTTTTATAGCGCCAGAGCGTAGTGGGAGGAGCCAAATCAGCCGCTCGACCAATCAGCCGCCCCCTGGACTGTGAAGTCACAAGTTGGGTGCACATGCCCCCAAGCTAGGTCCCGCGAAAGTACGGAAAGGAAAGGTCCTGCTGAACCTGGTATTCATTCCTCCAAGGGAATGGGCCGGGCGAGGGTGAAGGGTGGGGGGTGGGGGTGGGGGGACGGAAGCGGGTAGACCCGAGACGCAAACACACAGCATGAAGCTGGCCTTGGAGGTCATGGGAGGCAGAGGCTGAAGTTGATGTGAATAAAATGTGTATGGTTTTGTATATTAGCGTGCCCCCTGCTGGCCCTTCCCCACTCAGGTCAAGTCCAGGCACCGGCCTCTGGCTGCAGGAGAGTGGCTTGCATTGGCGCTTTTCGACCAGCAGAGGGCGGGGACGGCCCCGCCCTGGCTCACCCCGCCCCTCCCCCTTCCCCTGCCCCATGCTCCCTCTCTGGATGGATGGGATGGTCAGGCCCCCGCCCACAGGCTGGATCCATGTCATTTCTAAGGAGTTTTTTTTGTTTTTGTTTGTTTGTTTGATTTGTAAGATTTATTTTTTAAAAGAGGATTTTCTTAAGGAGGTTAATTTTTTTCTTATTTTTCAATTTTAAAAGGAGTGTTTTTGGTTTGGCTTTGGGGTTTTTTTTTAAAACCAGTTCAGAAGGTCAAACCTTCAAAGTGCATGCAAGCTGCTCCTCCTAGGGGGCACGGACTGAATGTTCGAGAGCATCTCCAGGAAGGCCTGCGGGGATGGTGCCTCCACCTTCTGGGAGGATTTCTGGACTCTGCCGAACAGGATGAAGTATTTTGCCTCCAGCCAGATGAACTCGGAGTGGTTCTCATCGAACAGGATGAAGACTCCAGGGCGGCGCCTGGCCAAGACGAACGTAGGGAAGTCAACAGTGATGGTTTCTATGCTCGCTATAGGAACACATCCTGCGGGTTAGGGGTAATTCTGGTCTCCTGAGCTCAGGCCCACAGGCAGAACAAACGGAACAGGCTGCTCCTCCAAAGCTGCAGCCCTGGACTCCCCGATGCTCGGCTGGGCAGGGTCCTGCCATCCACGGCCCTGGCTTTCCTCAGTCCCGTGTTCTTGCTGCTGCTCGCAGATCACCTGCTCGCCAATCTACTGGACCACGGTGGAGAGCTCCTTGAAGTTGCAGAAGATCTCACCATCTGGCCTGTGGATGCGGCCCATGAGATGGATCTCTACCTTAGTGTTCATTCACTGTCCCGTGATGCGGGTGACCCTGGCATACTTCCCGCCATTTTGGCCCCAGTAACTTGGCAGCTGCCATTTTGTTTTTAAAATATATTTTATTGATTTTTTTTCCAGAGTGGAAAGAAGAGGGATAGAGAATTAGAAACCTCAAAGATAGAGAAACCTCAATCAGCTGCCTCCCGCACACCTCCTACTGGTGTTGTGCCCACAACCAATGCATATGCCCTTGACAGGAATTGATCCTGGGACCCTTTAGTCCGCAGGATGGTGCTCTGTCCACTGAGCCAAACCAGTTAGGGCGGCAGCCGCCATTGTGAAATGGCAAAGGTCAATCCCTCTCTTTAATCCTCTCCCTTCCGCCCCTCATCCCGCGTTTTAACTTCCGCGTTTGGATAGCACAAAATGCAAGTACAAAACATTGCACAAGTGTACGTTTTACTATACGGAAGTGGATTAATATCTTTGTGTCATTGGTGTGTGTATGTGTGTGTGTGTGTGTGTGTGTGTGTGTGTTTTAAAATATATCATTATTGATTTCAGAGAGGAAGGCAGAAGGAGAGAGCGATAGTACATCCACGATGAGAGAGGATCACTGGTCAACTGCCTCCTGCACACTCCACACTGGGGATGTAGCCTCCAAACCAGGGGTGTACCCTTGACCAGAATCGAACCCGGGAGGCTTCGTGGTCCACAGGCTGACACTCTAAACACTAAGCCAAACCAGCTAGGGCCATTTTGCTGTTGTTGTTTAAAAACAGATTGGAAGGGAGAGGAAGAGGGAGAGGGAGAGGGGAGGGAGAGGGAGATGGAGAGGAAATTGATTTTCCACTTGTTTATTCTTGTGTCCCTTGATTTAAAAAAAATACAAAACTAACAATGAGGGAATTTGTGGTCTCTACCCTGGGACCCTGGGCTGTGCCCTGAGGGCACTGGAAAAAAGGAAAGTGACTTGTTACCATGGCCTTCACGAGTCCAAAGACATGTGATCCTAGAGGTATAGAAAGATAATAGGCCCAGATACCAGTAAGGTCAAAGATGATCTCTCTCAGGGAAGATACCCGGCCTAGGGCCTGACTACACCCTCACTATAGACTGCTTACTACTTTTAAAAGCCTTTTATTTTCAGAACATCCTGGGTGATCTCTTTAGGTGTCTGAGTTTGCAAGCCCAGGCCAGGCCTCCCGGGAGTGGGTCAGGTGATCATGTGGCCCCTTTTCATCCACAATGCAAAGCTTCTTATGTATTTACACCTTCTATTTTATCCTATGGCATTCCATTTCATTTTATTAAGTGATGTCTCCCCCAATACATTCAATTGCAAAAACAACAGCAACAACAACAAAGAGAAAATGAATCCCCCATTGTTGTCCCTGGAGTACTCGCCTCGTTTAGGCTTTCAGAGTTCCTGGGGTGTCAAGGGTCCAGGTACACAAATAGTGTTCTAGGTACATCCACTCGGTCCTCAGTCACACCCAATCCCCCCCACACCCACACCCCGCCAAACACACACACACACACACACACACACACACACACACACACACACACACAAACACGAAAAAAAAGAATAAAAATCTCCAGTCCCCCTTTCACTGCCATTCCGCCTGCGGGGCCTTCCGGGGGAAAACCCAGGTGGTGGACGCCAGGGCATAGGGGATAGTGGGTCTGGGTTAGGGTCAGATCTAGGGTCAGGGTCATGGGAAACATAAGTGTCAGGGTCAGGTCATTGTCAGGTTTGGGTTAGGGTGAGGGTGAGGGTAGTTTGGGTTAGGGATGGGGTTGTTAAGTTTAGGTTTAGGGGTTCTGCATGGAACCCTGCAGAATGCAAGGCTGGGCCTACTCTGGCAGTCAGCACCCAGTGGTGGGAGAGGCCCAGCATCCCCGGAGGTGCAGCCCTGGAGTTGGGGAAGGGGTGGAGCTGGAATGCCACTCAGACCCAAACCGGAGGCCCTGGGAGGCATCTCATCACTGGACTTGTAGGTTCTCTTGATTTTCTAGAAGGTTCCAACAACTCTGAGTTTAGAAAGCCTTCGCTTTCTTCCACCTTCGAAGATCTGTATGTTTACTTCCTGGACCATCTCCTGCAGCACTGTCCCTCTCCTTCTCTTTTGACTTTGTACTATCCTTCTGATTGTGGCTGTCTCTTGTTGAAAGCTTTTCTGGATGGTTGCTACCACCTACGCTTCTACTTCTACGACTTTTGCCACCCAAACCATCTTCTCTGCGGCCCCTTGTAAGGGGAGAATTCCTGATATGAAGTGGTAGAAAGCTCTCTGGAGAAAAGTTCTCTCCATTTGCTGACGGTCAAGGCTGTTTTCCAGCAGCATAATCTTTGTAGCGTTTTTCATTACACTCCCTGTATTTCCTCTCCCATTCTCGGTAATGCTCTCTTACAAATGGGTCTCTAAAGTTAACACTCCTCCCATCATAAGCTTTTCTGTCATAGGGTGGTGGAACGTCTCTGTATCTCTTAAAATATTCACGTTCTGTTTCCCCTTGTGGTACAGTGCGTTTATTTGGAGACTGTCCCCTAAATGCTTGAGGGGACCTTGATCGCAAAGGATGTCGCCTATATAGTGGTGACCTTGACCTAGATCGACGACGATATCCATGAGATCTAGACCTAGACCTTGGGCGGTAATTTCGACTCTTGCCTCTGCCTGTTCTGGGGCATGGCAGTGATCGAGAATAGGAATGAGAGTGTGAATGGCTAGGTGATCGAGAATGAGAACGTGAGCGCCCTGAACCACGTCTTGATTTTGCGTAATCAGAAGGACTTCTGGGGTATGAGGAACCACTGTAGGGATATTTAGACTTAGACTCTTCTTTTAGCCGTTGCTGCTCTCTATAGAATTCTTCCCTGGACAGAAGTGGTGCTTGTGCTGCTGGGATGGTATTTGAGTGAGCAGTCTGCACTCCTGATGATACCCAAGGTGCTGATAAATTGGCAGAAGGACTTCTGGAGTATGCGGAACCACTGTAGGGATATTGAGACTCTTCTTTTAGCCGTCGCTGCTCTCTGTAGAATTCTTCCCTGGACAGAAGTGGTGCTTGTGTTGTTGGGATGGTATTTGAGTGAGCAGTCTGCACTCCTGATGATACCCAAGGTGTTGATATTTTGGCAGAAGGACTTCTGAAGTATGAGGAAGCACTATAGGGATATTTAAACTTAGACTCTTCTTGTAGCCGTCGCTGCTCTCTATAGAATTCTTCCCTGGACAGAAGTGGTGCTTGTGCTGCTGGGATGGTATTTGAGTGAGCAGTCTGCACTCCTGATGATACCCAAGGTGCTGATAAATTGGCAGAAGGACTTCTGGAGTATGCGGAAACACTGTAGGGATATTGAGGCACTTCTTTTAGCCGTCGCTGCTCTCTGTAGAATTCTTCCCTGGACAGAAGTGGTGCTTGTGTTGTTGGGATGGTATCTGAGTGAGCAGTCTGCCCTCCTGATGATACCCAAGGTGTGGAAAAGTTGGCTGGCTCTGCAGGGAACCTGGGGGAGGAGGGACGCTATACCCAGCAGGTGGTGACTGTTCAAGCAAAGATGGGGTTCCGAGCTCAGGCACCTGGTAACCTTTCTCCTCCACAAGGGCAGACATTGCTATTGAAGAGGTTCCCTTTGAATGTTCGAAGGCGAGGGCTGCAGCCGGCAATATTTTACGATCGGAATCCTGGAAAGGCCCATCTGGTTTTTCCAAGTGGACTGATATGGAGACGGTTGCAGTTACATCGGGTACAGGCACTGGGGTAGATGAATTTCCAGGCGCAGCAGGGGCTAAGGAAGACTGATTAGAAGTGAACGAAGGTATAGAGGGAGCCGGGTGGCCTGATGAAGACGCCACTGGAATCATCGGAGGATCTTGCTGTCTTGATATTGGAGATCTCATCAGAGGCTGTCGATTCCGCTGAAGGAGTGGTCTCCGAGGCGGTATCGGCGGTGGTGGTGGGGGTAACGGTTTCCGTAGTCCTGTTGTAGAACCACCAGTTCCATTTTTGAAGTTATTAACAGCCTGTCGCAAGGCTTTATTGGCAACTAAAGCATTGGGAGAGACATCATGTTGATGACACGTTGGGCATGTATGGTCCTCTGATTCCAAGAGCGCTGTTCTTATACACTCATCACAGTAGCTGTTCGCACAGCAGGGAATGATAGCGGCATCAGTCACGATGTCTTTGCAGATGAGACAGAGCAACTCGTCTGGGATAGGGTCGTCCTTTTCAGAAGACGAAGAGGGCTCCTCTGGGAAGAAAGGTGGCTTTTCTTTCTTCCCAATTCCATATGCCTCTGCCTCTATAGTCGGTATTGCGTTGGCGAGCAGGGGCAGCTCACGCCGCCGGTGATCCAGCAGCCGCCCAAGCCCGGAGCACGGATCCGGCTCCCGCAGGTGACGCTGATGCAGACGCCCCCGGTGGCCCTCCGGCAGCCCCACCACCTCCTCGTGCTGACCACAGCCCAGCAGACCCAGCTGAACCCACTGCAGCCAGTCCCGGTGGTGAAACCTGCTGTGTTACCTGGAACCAAAGCTCTTTCTGCTGTCTCGGCCCAAGCAGCTGCTGCGCAAAAAAATAAACTCCAGGCGCCCGGGGGAGGCTCGTTTCGGGACGACGATGACATTAACGATGTGGCGTCCATGGCTGGAGTAAACCTATCGGAAGAAAGGGCAAGGATCTTAGCCACGAGCTCTGAGGTTGTGGGCACGCTTACACGGTCTTGCGAAGACGAAACCTTCCTCCTGCCAGCGCCTCAGCAGAGAAGGATATTGGAAATAGGTAAGAAACACGGCATAACGGAACTGCACCCCGACGTCCTGAGTTACGTGTCACGCGCCACGCAACAGAGGCTGCAGAACCTCGTGGAAAAGATATCAGAAACGGCTCAGCTGAAGAACTTTTCTCATAAGGATGATGACAGATATGAGCAGGCGAGTGATGTTCAGGCTCAGCTCAGATATTTTGAACAACTCGATCAGATTGAAAAACAGAGGAAAGATGGACAGGAAAGAGAGATTTTAATGCGAGCAGCCAAGTCTCGCTCCAGACAAGAGGATCCAGAACAATTAAGGCTGAAACAGAAGGCGAAAGCGATGCAGCAGCAGGAGCTGGCGCAGATGAGGCTGCGTGACGCCAATCTCGCCGCGCTGGCAGCCATCGGGCCCCGCAAGAAGCGGAAAGTGGACTCCCCGGGACCGGGCTCCGGGACAGAGGGATCCGGCCCGGGATCTGCAGTCCCCGGCAGCTCCGGCGTGGGAACCCCCCAACAGTTCACACGACAAAGGATCACGCGGGTCAACCTCAGGGACCTCATATTTTGTCTAGAAAAAGAACGTGAGACACGCCGTTCACTGTTGCTCTATAAAGCGTTCCTTAAGTAGCACAGGACCTGCGGCATCTCCTTAGAGACGCCTGGGGACATTTTTATATATTTGCAGATGACGCCTTTTTGTAACAAGCAAATGGGATATTGTTTAAAAAACAGCCACCTCTTTGCCATGGAACCGTTTTTATATTCCCGTTTCTAAGTCAACTCTTCAGTCCGGAAGAAAACAAGTTTCTGTAACAGAGAAAACAAGGCCCATGGGCACTCTTTTTTTGTTTTGTTTTGTTTTAATATGGGAAGAATTTAATAAAGTTATCAGCTATTTGTCTGTATTTCTGGAATACTTAAAACTTCCTTCACATTTAAGCATAATCCCTATTGCCTTATCACACAGTAATTCTTAAATGATACAGGCTAATCCCTAGTCCTGCCCTTGTTCAAATTCTCACAAACCTTGACTTAATGAAGGACGAACTAGTGGGATGGATGGAGGAGATGGTACATATTGTAAAAGTGCTACTGGTGTTGGCCTGGACACTTAGCCTGAGGGAGTAAAAAGTGAAGGATAATGAATCATAATGGCAACAAACTAAAGGTCTCCAGCTGATTGGAAGGACCAAGCCTTTGTCTTTGTTGGAACCCCAGCTTCTTCCAGCTCACTCTCCACCCACTGCCACATCTCTAATGACACCTGGATTGTCCTTAGTGCAATTGTTTAACTGATATCGTTTATTCTTTATCACCTGTCACAGCAACCATCTTTCCTCTCTTCAACTTTCCTACCACATGTGCATACATTTGTGTGTGTGTGCGCACACACACACACACACACACACACACACCATGCATACACCCAGTGACTGATGTTTAGTGAGCCATTCTAAAGCCAAGTCTAGGGTGCTGTTAATGAAATTTTGCACTTCAAGTTAATGAAGTTCCCTTGCCCTGGGGTGCAGTCCCCCTTCTCCACTTGCCTCCCTCTTCTGTGCCAGGACACAGACTTATCTTGCCTCCCCAGGTGAAATTCTGTTCCCAATAACCAGTTCCCCAATTGCTGGGGTCCATTCCCAGCAGGTCCAGGGGTCCCCAAAGGTGTGGACGGAGTGGGCGAAGAAGGAATGACACAGAGACAGCGTTCAGTCGATCAGCAGCCTAGCCAGGACTCTAGCCAGGATCTCCAGCCAAGTTCTGGTTAGGATCTGATGACCCCATGGGCACTCTTAATGGATAACTAAATCCTAACTCATCTTTGATTGAGTGGCCTTCTTGCCAAAGAAGCCATATATAGAAGCTGACAGAATCGTTTCGCAAATAATTAGCTGCCCTATGTCGCCTCCCAGCGGCTCTTACATTATTTGTGCATTTGGTTTTAGTTCAGCCCCACTTACTGCCTAGGTGTGTGTCTGCAAGCCAATGACCTCATTTCATTTATTTTATTTTTGTATCAGTCAGATGGCAAAGCAAACTGATTTTTAGACTGTTTATCCCCCTTCCCCATTCAGCACTAGGAACACGGCCCACCATGGCCTCTGGGTGAGTCACTCTCCTGCCTCACGGAGCCGGCCTGGGGACTCCTGGATGTGTAGCCGGCATCTGTACAAATGCATTTCATTTGCTATAGTTTGTAAAGCTGTAAAGTTAAAAGAAATGAAAACCTTTTCAGCATAAATATATTTTACTTGCACTGTGTTTTTTAGCTAAAAGTGAAAACTTAGATGAAATAAAATCAAAGTTGAGAAGAATCATCAAAAGACTTTCTCAGTGTGAATCAAGTGTTGAGAATGGCTGGTGTATTTTGTCAGTAATTGTACATATTTTGGCACATAACATGAAACGCCTCTGTAAACTGTAATTATTTTGCTAAGAGACTGTGTGCGAGCTGTGGGCCCTTTACAAATGCCCAGAGCAAGCCCCTTCTTTGTACCTATTTTTTTATTACAAATATACTAATTGGTTCTTTATAGTTTCAGAGGTTATTGTATTAAATTGTCTATTGATAGTACTTTTATGACTGTAAATACTTGGCTTTCTCCGTGGGAGCCTGGCAGTAGACTGATTCGCCAGAGTGGGAGCTGAAAGATCAGTATTTTTTACCGACACCTGAGAACTGTTAACACCTTTTATTTTGTCTTTTAGGAAATCCTGTCTTTCCATTTTTTCATTTAAATTTTGCACAGTTACTTGTTCATATGTAAATATTTTACTTTCAAAAATGAAGTTTTTAATTGCTATTGTTTTACATAGGGTTGAAAGAAAATTAACTCCTTTATTAAAAACAAATTTATCTGAAAATAAAAGAGAATATGGACACAGAACCTGGCTGGAGAACCACCAGAACTTCTCTGGAGATCCTGACCAGAACTTCTCTGGAGATCCTAACCAGAACTTGGCCAGAACTTCGCTGGAGATACGGACCAGAACTTGGCTGGAGTTCCTGGCTAGAGATCCTGGCTAGGCTGCTGATCAACTGAATGCTGCCTCCGTGTCATTCCTTCTTCGCCGACTCCGTGCACACCTTGGGGAACCCCTGGACCTGCTGGGGCTTGACCCCAACACCTCTGATCTCCTTTCCTTTCATTTGGATAGGGTGGGAAGTTTATGATATTTTAATAGCTACATATGATTTAGTACTATATTCCTCACTATATAACACCATGGTGTTTTCTTGCATCAAAATCTTCAGAAGTGCTCCACTTACCATTGTCTCCTGATTCAGACTTCTTAGGTTTACTTAAACATTTTATAATCTTAATTCAAACTATCTTTCCAGATATAGGCCCCATTATCTATTAGATTTCCATCCAGCAAAACTATCTCATTATCTTTGGGTTACTTTAGCTTTTCTTTTTTCATCCTTGTACTTTATCTTCAACATTCCTTTTCCTCCTACTTGCGCTAGAAGCTGGCATACTGTTGTGGACCACTGTTAGTGAGAATGAGACCACTGACTCCAATCAGGTCTTAGCAGCAAGCGAGGATTTACTGAAAGCTGGCCAGCAACTGCAACAGGTCCTCCACACAGGGAGCTCCATCCTGCTGCAGCCCCAAACCTTTCTCTAATAGCCTTTTTAAAGGGTGTCACAAGCTCAACAGCGGGCAGTGTGGTGTCACACCTGGCTGGAGCTTTTAACCACAACCCAGTCTTTGAACACTCCAGTGGAAACTACCTACTCTTTGTACATATTGACATCAAGATACATAGAGTAGCCGAAACCGGTTTCGCTCTGTGGACTGAAAGGTCCCAGGTTCGATTCCGGTCAAGGGCATGTACCTTGGTTGTGGGCACATCCCTAGTAGGGGGTGTGCAGGAGGCAACTGATCGATGTTTCTAACTCTCTATCCCTCTCCCTTCCTCTCTGTAAAAAATCAATGAAATATATATTTTTTTAAAAAAAGATTTTTCCAGACAAAGATGATAGAGGGAGGGTGTTCCAGGCAGAACAGAGCATCAACAAAGGCCAAGTGTGCCTCATCGGTTGGACATCCACCTGTGAACCAGGAGGTCACGGTTGGATTCCAGTCGTTGGGGACTCAATCCCCAGTGGAGGGCGTGCAGGAGGCAGCTGACCCATGATTCTCTCTCATCATTGATGTTTCTACCTCTCTCTGCTTCGCCCTTCCTCTCTGAAATCATTAAGAAAAAAGAAAAAGAAGAGTCCTGGCGGGTTTGCTCAGTGGATAGAGCGCTGATGGCGAACCTTTTGAGCTCAGCGTGTCAGCATTTTGAAAAACCCTAACTTGCCGAAACCGGTTTGGCTCAGTGGATAGAGCGTCCGCCTGTGGACTGAAGGGTCCCGGGTTCAATTCCGGTCAAGGGCATGTGCCTGGGTTGCGGGCACATCCCCAGTGGGAGATGTGCAGGAGGCGGTTGATCGATGTTTCTCTCTCATTGATGTTTCTAACTCTCTATCTCTCTCCCTTCCTCTCTGTAAAAAATCAATAAAATATATATGTAAAAAAAAAAAAAGAAAAACCCTAACTT